GCGTCCATTTTGACAATTCCAGCACAGAAAATTTTGTGAAATTCTGTTAAGAGAATAATATTAATAAATCGTTTTTTATTGTAACAATTCCTATTTAACAAAACATGGATTCATCAATCAAAACTAAGAAGTGCTCCGTAAAGCTAAACCGTTTATCATATGTCGGAATTACTCCAGCAGAAGTACAGGTGCGTTGTGATAGTAGATAGTCATTAGTGCTGGCCTTGTACAGAGGATTCAACACAAAAATACTCTTGATTGCATACGGTTTAATTAATTGTTTTTGTTAATATTTTCTAGGAGCAAATCTTAGACCAAAGAATAAGACGTTGTGCAGTGCGGCTACAACGTTGTTCGGAAAATGTAATATGTACCAATGGCAAAATTGATGGCTCCATTGGAAAAGACTCCAAAATGCGTCGTTGTTGCATTCGTTTGCCTAGGTTAAATTTAGTACGGAGTGAAATATCCTCACGCGCTGGCTCCGTAACCAGTGCTAGAATTCTATCTGAATCAGGTAAAGAGACTTGTATTTAAAAAGATATTAAACCGAGTAATCAATCTATTCTATTTGCAGAGTTGGATAGTTCCCAAATTGTAGACCACTAAGCACCACCAAACAAACCCGATAGATTGGAATACTTATTTTAAGTTTCATTTACTAAAATGTATATTAAAAAAGCTCATATATACCTATGTAATGAACTAAACATTTTTAAATATTAAATCAGCAAAAATTTTGAAATACCTATTTTGAAAATGCTTAATTTTCGCTGTGATTGAGTGTTAGAGGTACGAGGCCCTGCCTTCGCTTTGCTGGTCCGGGAAACGCTAAAATAGAATAAGTTTTTTCGAGTGTATTTCTGCCATGAAAAAGCTTATCATAAAAATCCATTTTGTCGTTCGGAGGCGGGGAAAAACTGTAGGCCCCTCCATTTGTGTAAAAACATCAAGACACACCACAAATGGAGGAGAAACGCTTAGCAAAAGTTTAAGCACGAACATATTCAGGGCTATCACAGAATCCATCGTAGCTTCGATTTTCGTGAAATCTACGAAAGTGCTATCGCAGAATCCGAATGGCTACGAATGAAAATTCGAAATTCGTAGAGAGCCTTCATTGAATCCGTTCGTAATGAAGATTCGTACAGATACTCTACGACGAGATTATGCTGTCGGAACAAAATTTAAAATCACTCAATCTTAAAAATAGTGGAAGAAAGCTGCATTATTTTTAATATTAAATATTT